TAATAATAATAATAATAATAATAATAATAATAATAATAATAATAATAGAAGGAAGAATAGTCCCAAAACAACTGGAGCACCACTTGAACACCATTGACATTGACAAATTTACCACCAGTCAATTGCAGAAGGCAGCTTTACTTGGAACAGCTTCCATCCTGCACAATATCTGTAACACCATCAAACATCCAGATTTGCCTATCCCAGGACATTGGTAAAGACTGATAGGTAGACAAAAATGCCAAACCCAGTCTGGAAATCTGGCTGACTGTGCGAATAATAATAATAGTAATAATAGTAATAATAGTAATAAGAAGAGGAAGAGGAAGAGGAAGAGGAAGAGGAAGAAGAAGAAGAAGAAGAAGAAGAAGAAGAAGAAGAAGAAGAAGAAGGGGGGATTTGGGCAGCTAAATGCTGGAAAAGTGAGCTTTGGAAAGCGCCAGCTGGATACCCAAAAAAGAGGAAGGGCCTCTTTCTTTCTTTCAGAAAGAGCCGCAGGGAAAGAAGAGCCAGGCGGGAGCCCACAAGCCTTTTGTGCGGAAAAGTCGGGCCAAGATCCCCTACCAGGTTTCCTCCTCCTCCTCCTCCTGGAAGCGCTGCTGCTCTTTTTCCTTTTCTTCCCGGCCGTAGCCTCCCAGCCTCCGAAGATCCAGGATTTCCACCTCGTCCAAAAGGCCGGCCGGGGGCAGAAGGATGGAAGGGGCGGCGAGGGCTTCGTGGGGTGCCCCGGTGGGGGATGGCTTGAAGTAGACGAAGGGCTCGGCTTGGCATACGAGAGCCGGCGCTGGGCTCGACCGGCCGGCTGGAGGGGAGCTGCTGCGGGGGACTGGGGAGGCGGCGGCGGCGGCGGCGGCAGAGGCTACTCGGGGCAGAGGGCTGGTCGGGCTCGGACCAGGCGCCGAAGCAGGGCAGGGGGTGGCAGCGGCTCTATTGCGCAGCTGCTCGTTTTGCTTCTCCAGCTTGCGCACCAGCTCCTGGAGCTTCTTCACCTCCAGCTCGGCGCTCACGGCACCGGGCTTCACCTCCGCCACCATCGGTTTCACCAAAGCGGCCTCCATAGCCGGAGGCGCCCTGGAACGACCGCAAGAGAGACGCCCTTCTTCGGCGAAGGCGATCCTCTGCAGGCAAAAGGGCGCTTCTCTTTCCCCTCGGGCACCTCCAGCACAGCCAGCCAGCCGCGCAGCAGCAAACGGCAAACCCCAACAGGAGCACCGCACCGCGCGGAGCCTCGGCGGGCAGGCACCGCGCAAGCGCAAGGAGGAAACAAAGCAGGGCGGGGAGACACCTTGCGCTGCGCAGGGCGGGGCGCGGGGTTTTTTTTTGGGGGGGGGGGGCTCGGGGCCGGGGTGGGGGGGGGAAAGCGGAGGGGTGGCGGGAGGTGGCGCGGGGGGGGGGGCGGGTACGGGGAAGCCCTCCCGGGCTTCTCCTTTTTGCCGCCGTCGAGCCCGTGGCGAGGATGCTCTGAGGCGTTTCTTTTCGAGGCAGAAAATAAATGGCGCGGGGATGGGTGGCGGGGGGATTGTGGCTTGCTCGATTCGAAGCGCGTCAACCGTTTCTCTTCTTGTACATGGATACTGTACATTCCGAACTAGACTGTGTTGTTTCTCTGTGTCATCGAATATATGCGGGGTATATGCATAATTTCGTATTTATTTATTCTGTCATGGTTATGTAGTGTATATTGGAGGTGGTGACCCTTGGAGAGCTGTATGCAATGACAAGATTTGAAACGAAGACAAAGCTATTCTATTCTATTCTATTCTATTCTATTCTATTCTATTCTATTCTGTCATAATCCATTCCATTCTATTCCTATTCCTTTTTTTAAATAAAATTTTATTTCACTTCCACATTTTAAAAACATCTCATCTTCGTGAACAGCATAATTCCAGGTTTTCACATTTCCATACAAACATGACTAATTACATACTCATCTTTCACATTTAGTTTCATATCTTACCAATACTTTACATATTTTCTCTTATTATTTTTTTCCAAATACTTTCCTCCGGCTTAGACCTTAAATAACTCTCATACCTTCATTTCATTATACTTTTATACCTTTTATCTGTCAGGTTTGCAATTTCATTATTTCACAAACTTTAATTCAATTCAAACATTTCAAAAAGATTTCCCTCCACAATTACTAATTTGAGTGTGCCACCCCTATAGCTTTCCTATTCCTTACTACTCTACTCTACACTCTACTATACTCTATACTTGTTGTGATTAGCCGGCAGCAGGTGCAGATGGCTGAGGAGAGCGAGGACTCTGATGAAGGGCCAGGACCATCAGGGAGTGGACTGCTGCATTCAGAGATTGTGGGGCTGGAAGCAGTGATGAGGAGGTTCACGAGGAGCCTATGCCAAGTGCACGTGCACAAAGGATTGCTCGGAGGAAAGAACAATTACAGCAGCACAGGCAATTCAGGAGTAAGGCTGCAAGGTAATGGCCCCTCCCTCAAGAGGATAAAAGCCAGGTTTGGGAAAGCATTTTTTGCAGACAGCAAAGAAGCTCATAAGCTCAACTGGTGGACATCTTAGTTTGTGAATCTTGTAAATTAGTTCTTACCTCTGGGTTTTTGGCAGCCTTGGCAAGGCTCGCTCTTGTAGGAGACAACTGTTGGAAAGCAGCCTTTTATCTGTAAAGGAACAACATACATGATTAAACCTTGAAAGGTAGGGGGTGCTGCCTTTGTCTGTGTTTGCTATGTGGGAAGCCGATTGGGTCAGGACAATACTCTATTCTATACTCTACTCCATACTCTACTCTACTTTAGATCTGGGTCCTCCATGGACATAAGCACACACATGGCACATATTTTTCTAAACCACAACAGTGTTGTGATATTTCCTGACAGTGAGAACAATTGGCTTGCCTCCAGAAGTTGTAAGTGCTCCATCACTGGACATTTTTAGGGAGAAATTGGATAGCCACTTGATTGAATGGTGTAGGGTCTGCTGCCTTGAACAAGGGATTGGACTAGATGAGATCACTTCCAATCCTGTAATTCTATGATCTAAATTGACTAATCTTGTCGAGGAAGGGAACCCTATCTTCAAAAATGTCCAAGTTGCTATATCCCAAAACAGAGATGCCATAGTTGAACCAATGGAGAAAAAAATATCAAACTCCAAGTAAACCTGCTTTTGACATGAGCCAAATATGAGCCAGCAGTGTGTGGCAGCAGCCAAACAACAACAATGCAATCCTAAATTGCATGAAGGGGTTGAATCGAGATCACGTGAGGTACTAGTACTGCTCTATAAAGCCTTGGTAAGACCACATCTAGAATACTGCATCCATTTTGGTCACCATACTATTAAAAATACATTGAGACTCAAAAGTGCAGAGAAGAGCTACAAAGATGATTAGGGTTCAGGAGGCTAAAACTTATGAAGAATGGGTACAAGAATTGGCCGTGGCTAACCCAGTGGAGAGAATGACCAGGTGACATGATCGCAGTGTTCCAATATTTGAAGGGCTGTCACACAGCAGAGAGGGCCAACTTGTTTTCCAAAGTACCCAAAGGTTAGATAAGGAACTATGGATGGAAACTGATCAAGGAGAAATTCAACCTAGAAATAAGGATAAATTTTCTGACAGAACAATCAACCGAAGGAACAGTTTGCCTTCAAAGTTGTAGGTGCTTTATCATGGAGGCTTTCAAGAAGAGTCTAGGCAGCCACTTAGGTCTCCTGCTTGAGCAGGAGGTTGGACTAGATGACCTACAAGGTCCCTTCCAACTCTGTTATTGTGTTAAACATGGCAGATTCATCAGCAGATTCTGTTTGAGTACAGGAGGACTGAAAATCAAGATCAAACGTGTTGCAAACTAGTAAATGTATGTATATATCACTCTTATTAAACTCGATAGTGAATGATGGGGCTCAAAGAAAGCAATGCTTTATTCCCTAAACCACTTACTTCAATGTCATTACTATGCAATTGACTTGTATTTAGTGGAGTGGCTGCCTAGCAAGATGGGCCATAAGTGAATATTGCTGACATTCAAACAGTCTATAATCCCAAGTATGCTTTTCAAAATAAAGGCATGCCGTCCACTTTTCTAATATTTCCAAAGTGCATGTTTTATGGGGTGCAGATCATTCTACTCACTGAGACGTTACATCAAGATGCTACTTTAACTGAGAAATAAGGAGTGGATGCTGGTGTCTCTGGCTGGAAAGGTAATAAATCAGTCTGTGCTTGGCAGAAACTTATTTCGATCATCAACTTCAGGAAGAGAGAGGAGGTCAGATTGCAACTGAACCTCTGGAGGCAGAAATAATAGACACCTTTGGAACCTTGCCAGGTTGAGAACAGGAGGACTTACTGAATACATGAGAGAACCTTACACAAACTATAATAATAGTGCTCAAGAATCCCTCCAGCAAAACCTAGGATGCAACATACATACATGCATACATTTATTTTATTTTATTATTTGTATGAAACCCACCTTGCTGTTTGAGGCAATTATGAGAGGCTTACATATCAACAGGTTTACACCAAATATGCCCGGAACCAAAACCCAACAGTGTGTATGAAGATACTCAAGGAACTTTAAAGTCAATTGAACATGTGAAATGGTGAGAAGATGATTCAAATGCCCATAGGAATAAAACTCCAGAGGCCAACAGCTATGTCGCACTCCAACACAATAATTTTGTAAGAGAAGTACACAAAATAGTCTTCAGAACAAATCCTAACTGAAGTTAATCAACAGTGTTGACAAAAATCTAACATGAAGATATCTGCAATCAAATGTCTTGGAACATTGCTGGCTGCATGGACAAATGTATAAATGCTTTTTTTTTTTGCACTTTCTACAGAGTTATTACATGTTTTTTTCTCCAGAAAACTTGGCTGATGGAAAATAATGTTGGTAAAATAGGTGGCCGCAGGTATTTTTTATAAATGGGCCAAGAGTGACTGAAAGAGTGCCTGAGGGGTTTAATGAGCATTATTCCTTGATGTAAGAATAGAAGAAATTATTCTGGAAAGTTATGATATATAGTAGATAAAATTCAAATAATAAGGCTGAAATCTAAAGAGAAAAATGTTAATTTGTATAAATATTTATGTGCCACCCAGACAACAGGAAAATTGGGATAATTAGAAACTGGTATAGGGCAATGGTGGGTTTCCAAATGTTTTCCTAAGTTCTATGAGAGAGCGCTTTGCACGCCTGCGCAGGGCTCAAAGATTGCCCTCTGTGTCAGCGCTGGTGAGCGGAGCTGTTTTTTAGCTCAGCTGAGGTGTAGCAATCCACTCTGCCATGTGAATCAGCTGAGCTAAAAAAACCAAGGGAATATAGGAGAGGTAACGCCAGGGGCGGGTGGGTGGGGCCAGCCAGAGGTGGTATTTGCTGGTTCTCCAAACTACTCAAAATTTCTGCTCCCGGTATGCCAGAACCGGTCCAAACTGGCTGAATACCACCTCTGGTTATTGTGTTACCTGCTTGAGCAGAAGGCTGGACTAGAAAACCTACAAACCAGCTCTATTCTGATATGCTACCTCAACCCATCGATATAGAGCAAAGCCGGAACTGAAAAGTGTGCACCAAAATTGCCAAGTGTAACTCTCCCTCTCTTAGATGCATCCCCCTGCCTGGCCCTATTGTCCAATCAAATTCAGAAATATTGTTTTTGGAACAGTTGCTTCACATGTGGGTTGGAATGCAGCTGTTATCCGTTCTCAGCTGTACTATTAACCTCTTCCAGGATTGTGGCCAATCCCAAAATTACCATTTGTTCAATGTTTAATGGTTATCCCCATTAATGGTCTTCTACTCCAACTCAAACAGGCGACTCTATACCATTCCAGACAAGTGGCTGTCCAGTCTCTCCTTATAAGGCTCCAGTGATGGAGCACCTACATCGGAAGGCCAGCTGTTCCACTGATTAATTGTTCTCACTGTTAGGAAATTTCTCCTTATTTCTGGGTTGCTTGATTAGTTTCCATCCATTGTTTCTGGTGCTATGGAAAATAGATTGACCCCCTCTTCTTTGTGGCAGCTTTTCAAGTATTGGAACACTGTTATCATATCACACCTAGTCCTT